CCTATAATTATAAATTTAGACAATATTTTTAAATAATATTATTTAAAAATATTGTCTAAATTTATAATTATTATTATTATAATAATTTTTATTATAATAATTATTATTCAACAATATTATTAAATATTTAAGTATACCCACGTCATTATTTAAAAATATAGGTTAAGTTTAGGTATAGTCTAGGTATTTTAAATCAAATTCGCCTATAATTATAAATTTAGACATTGGCAACACCGCAGGGCTTCTGATACACAGCGGAGTGTGTTTCTTGTTGTTTATGCACCAACGAACAGTTAACCGCCCCGTCCCTCATTACCGGGCTTCGACTAGCCAGTGTAATGCACCGGGCTTCGCATTGATAGCCGTGCATGTATATATATATATATATATACCTATGGGGTATTCCATACCAAATCGACCACTTTTGAACCCGACCCCTTTAGATTTTGCTGAAACTTTTCCATCCTTTTCTACCCTTTGAAAAACATTTTTGAAAATTTTTTCAAATTTTTTTGTCCAACCTCAAAAAAGTTATGAATTTTAAAAAAAAATGGCTTTTTTATTTTCAAATAGCCATAACTTTTTTAGAAATTGACTTTTGGGTACCTTTTTTTTTAATTTTTGTTTTTGAATGAACTTTTCAAAAAAATACACGAAAAAATACACGAAAAAAATTTAACATGATCAATTATATAAAATAATCGTTTTTTTTTAGTAAAATCGTCATTTTTTCGAAGTTCGCCATTTTTTTTTTTGTTTTTTTTTTCTCAAAAAAAACTTCAATTAATTTGACAACTATCCCCGCTAATCCCGGAGTGGGCCGATTTTTTTTTGTATTTTTTTAATTTATTTAAAAAAAAATTGTCAAAGAAAATTCGACAATTTTTTTTAAATAAATAAAAAAAAATTTAAAAAAAATCGGCCCACTCCGGGATTAGCGGGGATAGTTGTCAAATTAATTGAAGTTTTTTTTGAGAAAAAAAAAACAAAAAAAAAATGGCGAACTTCGAAAAAATGACGATTTTACTAAAAAAAAACGATTATTTTATATAATTGATCATGTTAAATTTTTTTTGTGTATTTTTTCGTGTATTTTTTTGAAAAGTTCATTCAAAAACAAAAATTAAAAAAAAAGGTACCCAAAAGTCAATTTCTAAAAAAGTTATGGCTATTTGAAAATAAAAAAGCCATTTTTTTTTAAATTCATAACTTTTTTGAGGTTGGACAAAAAAATTTGAAAAAATTTTCAAAAATGTTTTTCAAAGGGTAGAAAAGGATGGAAAAGTTTCAGCAAAATCTAAAGGGGTCGGGTTCAAAAGTGGTCGATTTGGTATGGAATACCCCCTATACTTAAGTACCTAATTAGTAATTAGTATTAAATACTAAGTAAAAAACACAATTCAAAATATTTTTTTATAGTTATTTGTCAAATTAAAACAATATTCGATAAAAAAAATACTTTTACTATAGGTATTTTATTTTATGTTAAAAATAAATATTTATTAATTTGTATGCCGATTTATTATTTCTGAATTAACATTTTTATGTATAATAATACTATCTTGAATCAATCTAATCTGACTTATCCCACAAAATTTTCCAATTTTACTTTTTATGAAATAATATCATACAACTTATGGTTTAAGGTCAAATTGTTTATTTAATATTTTTAAATAAATATATATTAATATAAAGTTATAAAGTGCTCTTTTAGTTCCACCCTTACATCCAAACTAAGATGTCCCATAAGCCAACTGAATGGCTTGTGCGGGTTAGGGGTAGGAACGGACCGACGGCTTAAAGTCCCCTCCGAAGGACTATACACAATGGACAAACACAAATAAACAACCATACCCAAGTGGGATTCGAACCCACGACCTCTCGGCTCGTACCCAAATTCCAAATTCCAAATTCCAAATTAGTTTATTTAACAATATTACATAATAAATTTTAATCAGCCTAACTATAAAGGTATAAAAGGTACAATATGTATATAAAAAAGGGAATTTATAGAGTTTAGAAAATTTAGAGAGTTAATAAATTTTGAGGTAATCCTGACAAGAGTACGTGGTCTAAAGGGGGTAATATAAAAGTGAAAAAAGAATGAGTGAAAAATGTTAAAATTTTGAGGTGACAAGAAGGTTAAAACGTAAGTAATTAACCTCCTTGTGCGAACTTTATACCGCATAGAGGCCCAGATTATCGTAATTGGTCAGTGCTGTTCCACTTTTACTCGCATGGCGATTTTGGGGAAGATACTCAGTAAAAAATTTTAGAAAAAGTAATGGAAGATAAGGTGAAGTAATGAATAAATAAAATAGTGAGTGATTTGAAGGAAAAACAAATTAGAAAAAACCTTCTTAAAAGTAATGATATATTTTTTTAAAAAAGAAGAAAGAAGGGATAGTACAAGAGGAAAAAGAAAAATTTTAAGTGCCGAATATGTCTAGGAAAAATTTTGAAAAAACCTAAATATGAATAAATGAGGAAAATTAAAATTAATAAAAAACCTCGCTGTGAATGGTAGTTTTTGATTTAGAAGCAAGTGCGACTATTGGAGAAAAATGGGAAGTTTCCTGTAAATAAGGCCGTGTCTAATGTTGTGATTGTCAAAGCGTCTGATTTGTGTAATTTGTGAAGTTAAGTTGGAATTTTGAATGGAATTTTCGAAAAATTTATTCGAAATGGCGAAAACAAAATCTTTAATGAATTGGATGCCCGTCATATCGTGCATGCGGGCGATCCTTGTGTATCTGTCCGAGTTGGTGACATGTCTGAGGGCCTGGTTCTGCAAACGTTGCAGAGTAACGTAATTGGTCTCAGACATGGAGCACCAAACCGGACAACCGTAGGTTAAAATTGGCCGAATTAGTGTTTTGTATAAAATAATTTTGTTTTCAAGGCTCAGTGCACTCCTCTTATTAATAAGAGGGTACACTGAACCGATTGCCGAAAAAAGTCTGCGCTTGAGTGTATTAATGTGTTGTGTAAATGTGACTTTGTCGTCTAGAGTAACACCAAGATACTTAACCCTTCTCTTGATCTCAACATCATTTCCACATACCCTGATCGGCGTAAAAATTTTGTTATTGGTAAATTTTTTTGAAAAATGAATTGCTTCGGTCTTCGCGCCGTTAATTTTGATTTTCCACCGATCAAAGTATTTCTGGAGTAAGTCAAGGTGGATTTGTACCTGTTTGGCAGCTACCGACGAATAGTACGAATCGGTGTAAATGGTGGTGTCATCAGCATACAGCCCCAGCTTCGTGCGTGGAAACTTCGGCGTATCACTTGTATAAAGTGTATACAGTTTCGGTGCCAAGACTGTACCCTGAGGAACACCAGCATTAATCGACCGTACCCCGGACATTTGACCATCCACCTTGACTTGAAATGTCCTGTTTGACAGGTACGAATTCAAGAGAAGTGTTAAGTGATTGGGAAACCCTAGGACGTGTAACTTGTGTATTAGCCCGTTCAACCAAACCGTATCGAAAGCCTTTTCGATGTCCAACAGAACCATAACCGTGTTATGACCACGATTATTAGCCTGCTGAACATCGTTGACCACCCTCACAATCTGGTGAACGGTGCTGTGCCCCTGTCTGAACCCAAACTGTTCAGGGGGAGTTATGTGGTTGTCCAAATCGAAGGCATTAATTCTGGTTAACATGATCCGTTCCACCACTTTGGATATAGTGCTGAGCAAACTGATCGGCCTGTAACTTGTCGGTTGGGAATGATCCTTACCTGGTTTAGGCAGCGGGATAATGACTGCGTGTTTCCACTTGGCTGGAAAGTGCTGAAGCCTCAGAATCCCATTGATAATGTAGGTTAACTGGACAAGCGCTTTGCGAGGAATATTTTTCAACAAAATATTGTCCACGCTGTCCATACCTGGTGACTTGCGATTAACAAGCCTATTTAGAATTCCTCGAACTTCAGCAGGGCTACACAGCAGGTCACTCAATACCTCATTTGACAAGTTACCAGGTACTGAGTCGCGCAAATTTTGGCCGGAGATGCTAATTTCAGTCTGCTCGGCATCCAAATTGGTGGTATCTGTCTGATGGACAGAGGCAAAGTGGTTAGCCAGAACATCCGCCTTCTCCTTGTTAGTGACGTGTTCTGTATTTTGTGTTATGATTGTGGGAATTTGTGTTTTTGTGTTTTTTAATCTTTTTGTGACCTGCCAGACTGAGTTATCTTTGGGAGTTAATTTGGAGAGTAGATCATGCCATCTTTGATTTCGAAAAACATGAATGTCGTTTTTAATCTCCATCCTAAGGGCATTGTATTGGTTTTTGTCAATAACCCTTCTGTATTTGTTATATTGCCTTTTGAAATTGGCTCGTACCCAGGAGCTCTGACCACTACACCACCGAGGCCGGTCGCAAATTATTTTATGGAGACGACAAATACATTTCACTGTCATATTATGACAGTGAGGCGTATTTGTCGTCTCCTGAAGAATTTTACGAATGTAGAATACAACATATTAGAACGTGGATATCTGACATATTTGGAAATATTCTCAAAAGCTTCCTAGAAGCTCCATAAGAAACCTTCTAAGAACATTCCAAAAACATATTCTTAAAATGTTCTTAGGATGCTTTTAGGAAGGTTTTAAGAAGCTTTTAAGAATCTAATCATTAAAAGGGTATCTATTGAATGTTTTAAAAGTCCCTAAGAATATTCTTAGCAATAATAAGTGAAGGTTCTAAGAATATTCCATTATTCCGGGTCATATCTTCTTAGAAGATTCTTAAAATCAAATTTTGCTACCAGGGTTGTGCTACATTCCATCGTAAACTGTCATGATTCAGTACTGGTAAGATCCTTGGATGTAGTAAATTTTCAAGTTAAAAAGGAAATAAAGTATTGAGGATAAATGGATAAGGTAGTTATTTGTGACGTCACTTTATGATAATTTCGCTATTATCCAATATAAACATAAACTAAATATGATTTGAAAAGCTCTTAACATTGTTGGAACTTACATCATGAAACCAAGTGATCTTGTGTTGTTTAGGGTTGGCCTTGATGATGCACTCGAAGTAAACGTCGTCGCCTTCTTTGATGAACTCCGGGTTGAGTGTGCTACCAAGATGCAGCTTAACTTGTGGAGGATCTAAACAAATATTTTTAAATTAAAATTCAGACGCAAACTATTCTTGGAATTTTTAAAATTATAAACCGCAATAATATCTACAAGCGGGGATATTTAATAAGATGAAAATGATTGTTGCAGTTGAAACGAGAGGAGAAATACAGCCAGCGTTTTGTGGCCGCGTAATGAAAAACCGGTGCCATTAAACCAGTTTTATTTAAATGTTGGCAGCATAGACGCAAAAAGAAGACTATTTTAATGAAATTTAACGAAAAAGTGAACACCGAACGCTCTGTAATTTACTTAATATTGTATGTGGGGAAAATTTTTAAAATTCATCTGCTAAACTTCAGCAGCTTAATATACAGGGTTGGTCATTTAACTTGAAACTTTGAAATATCTCAGTTAGTATGGCGCTGTAATGAAAAAAAATCAATTTTGTTCGATTTTTCTTCCGTATACGATTCTCCAATATTTTTTGAATAAAATACTTGGTTTTATATTAGTTATTTATGTCATTAGGTTAAGAAGTAAGGCTTTTTGTGCTAAGCTCAAGGTTTGACAATTGAGCGAAGCACAAAAAGGCACTTCTTGGCCGAATGGCATACACCATTTTATCTTCAAAGCACTTTATATAGGTCAATTTAATTCAACATCAAAGCGGCCTAACCTCACTTTTTTAGAATCTCATTTATTTATTAGCTAAAGATTACATTAAATGTACAATGATTATTATTGCTTTTAGAAGCAGTAATAGTTTGACAATACCTAGCAACATGATTTAAGTAGAAATGGATTTTTGCCATAAACTATTTTTAGTAAAATAGTAAGTCCAGATAAAATATGTATTCTTTACAATGTAAAACTAGAAGATACATATCGAAGGCTTTCGTGATAATGTACTTTGTTTTACGTATATAATTACGTCGAGTATTTAAAAATACGTTGAATGTTTTATTTACGAACTAGACATGCACGGTTTGTTTACCAAGATTAAATCACATTACCTACGGAAACTTTGTATAGTTCAATCTATCGATTTATTTAACTTAACTAACTTGTAGTAAGGGAATTATTTTGTACTTACTAGTTTCACATATTACTTTGCTCCGCAATCAAATCAAAAATTAAAACTTTTTGCACGAATCGTAGTGTGAACAAACCTTAACGGTATTTTTGACAGATGTGTTTTTTTTTGAGGTTTACATGTTTTTTTGTCATTATTTGCCTTTAAAATTTGATTGTTAATTTAATTAAATATGTGTGCTACATAGAGAAACCATGGTGTGCTATATATAAAATCAACAATTGTTCAACTAGTGTAACAATATCTTACTTTGTTCATTGTTTTCAAACGTATATATATATATGGGTGAATATATTGTACATGTAGGTGCACCAACATAAAATATTTATAAAAACAATCTACTTACTGAGATATTACACTTCACGGTGGATAGGTTTTTAAATAGCAAATTAATGAACTTTTGAATTATAAAACAGCAACACTCTCATCTAACTGTAATGTCGTAAACAGAGGTTTTGCTTATTTAAAATGATTAAAGCGCCATCCGTTTCATAAAATTTAAAGCAAAAACAGATTCACGGAGGATAGAATCAATTTTTGTAACACCTACATAAATGGTTATAAAAATTATTTCTTTTAATTTTTAATAATATTTTATATTTGATTCGATTGCTTTGGATGTGTTTAATTTACTTAGTGAACTGATGTTTTTAGTATGCTTTTACTACCTCAGATATTTGAAAACATACAGGGTGTTATGTAATTAATGTTATATATTAAAATGGGTTGTTCCTTAGGGTCCATAAAGAAGCACCTGAAACTTTTTTTTTTTAATTCCAAAGTCTAAAAATAATTTATAATAACCTTTATCCTACCAAAAAGTACGCCACTGATCGACTAGGAACTTTAGGTTAATCTGGTGGATTTATTATGTTATGGTTGGTAACAGTGTTTCCAAAATCTCCCAAAAAAGTTGACAAACATTGTTTAAACTTAGCTTAATTACAAAAATGACAAAATTAACAATGCAAATTGTCAATTTGGCGTTTTTATTAATTGTTGGTTATTTCATTTTTGTACTGAAGGTAAATTCAAACAAAATCTGCCAACTTTTATGACAGAATCTAGTGCATTTCTTTTAAATTTTAGGTTATGTTTTCAAATTGTAAATATCTTAACTAAGGAAAGTGCTTTTGGATTTATTTACACAAATTAAATGTTTAAAGTTTAACCTGTGAACTGGTCCCAATTTCATCTGAGTAAACAGAGAAAAAAACTGATGAAAAAATTAATTTTGTGGTTATGGATTTCAAATTTCAAAGGTACTAAATTTTTTAATCATTGCTTAAGCTAATAGCTGGATCAGTAAATAAATACAGAAGGGTATTAGAGCTTTAAGGGCATACAACTTTTGTATTTATTGAGTTTTTATTTATTTTTTGCAAGAAAAATTTTTGGTAACAATTTTTTACATCTGGCAACGCATAGCTTCTTTGTTGGTTGGTATCTATGTACTCACAAAATACAGGTGTGCAGAGATAAACAAGTGTGTAACCAGTGGCGTATCACAAAAAATATAAAAAACTTCTAATGCATATTTTTTCTTTATCTTTGGAAAAATGTTTTTTTAAATATTTTTTCTTTATTCCTTATGTCAAAAGGTATACAGTATTTTAATATATAACCTTAATTACATAACACCCTGAATAGTTTAACCTAGAAAGAGTAACAGTCACGGAGGATAGGTTTTAGACTTTTAAAACATTGTAAAAAATAATTAATTGCGGTTAAAAATCTAGAACCTAAGCTGTAATATCTACTTAATTATGAAAGATCAAAACAAAATAAAAACACATATTTAATGAAAAATATTGATTAATAAAAAAATTTTTGCGTAATATTTATCCGTTGTAATATTTTTTATCACAGTCGTGATAAATTTAAAAAATATATAAAACTTTTGAAATTGCGAATTAAGAAGTTTTTCTTGACATTTTGCCCTTCTTTCGTTCCTTACATAATAATATTACGTATTTTCCATTCGTATTAAACCGTATTCATAACGGCGTTTACACGCCCAATTTGCCATTTTAAAAATCAGTAAACACATTGTTATTGCATAGAATAATATAAAAATAAACATATTAATTTTTATTGTGCATTTATTCAGCTTTGTGCTCAAATATAAAATATAATTTTTAACAAATGGTTTGTTTGTTCAATAAAACGATGTTTGTATAAAGTTTTTGAAATAACATTTGTTAAAACTAAAATGCAAACACAAAATAATAAAAATAATTACTGTTGTGGTCCGATAATTATGCTATCGATTCGATTTATTGTTTTTAAAACACGTAAAAATACCATTTTAATAAGAAAAAATTGTTGCGTGCACTCTATCCATAAATTGGCTCTATTATGCCAAATTATATAATTACATCCTCAACAAAAACTCAATTTTAATACGATCGTACTCGGAGAATGCCATGTAAATTTATTAGTGTCTCGACACGAAGACAATTTATTTATCAAAAATGATAGGTCGCAATTAATTACCTTGATTTGGTTTTAGAAACAACCCCAATAAAATTATAACATAACATTTTGCATTTCAAACTTTTTTCATGTATAGTCGCAGTGTAGAAAGAACAGTACACTGTACTGAGTACAGTCACTCGCGCTGTTTATGAAAGTGCCTCCACTGTTAACAACCGAATGCGTGAAAATACGGTATATGATTAGGCGGTTTATATAGTGTCAGAAATTCCGTAATTTTCCATAGCAAACATTCGTCTCTCTCTTACTTGTTGCATATAGGAAATTAAGGAATTTGGGACACACACAAATATATATTACTTACAAACGACGTTTAATTTAAATGAGTCCTCCTGTCCTACACCTGGAAGTTTTGGATTATCTCCTATACATTTTAGAAATGTGCCATCATCCTCTGGTACTGGAGCGAATGTCACTGAACTTATTACCAGTGTGTCATTTCCATCTTCAATCATCTAAACAAAAAAATAATAAATCATTATGCGATATTTGGTTTCTGTTTTTTTAACACTTCATCAAAAGTCCCCTTAAATAGAACCAATTTTGTAAGATTCGAATAGATTATGAAATTCTGAATTCAGCAATATGTACTATGCTCCACACCTCAAAGTCCCACCACGTGACCACGTACGGAACGCAGTCTTTTGAAAATTTGGCATTTAAGGCTTTTCAGGTTATGTCTCTGTCAAAGTATAGTCAACGAAAGAAATAATATTATGTTTAGGCGTTAAAAATGTATAAATCCTTATAACATTACAATAACAATGGATGGTTTAAGAATTTAAGAATATAAATACTGCATTTAATAAAATTCTAAAATGTATGGTGCCAAATAAGTAATATTTTTGTGCATTTGGTCCAAATATCTGGTTTTCTCCATAAAATAATTTTAACTAGACAGCATTTATTAAAAAAAATCTAGCTTCTCTATTATGGAATAAGAATATCTGTATTAAAGGTATATATTATAAAAAAATATCATCTAATTTTGCAATTTTAAGGTTAGAAAAATTTATTTTGACCAAAATAAATAAGTATTTTGGAATATTTAAAAGACTGTATAATATGGTATTTAAAAATGTGGTAGTTTTTCTTATCCAGCGTACCTACATAAAGTTTTGTCAATCAGCTTCGACTGAATTTGATCTACATCGAAAAATCATTATAACTTTAAAAATTTTAATAAATCACATGTCATGGGAGTATTAAATATTTTCACATTGCAAGTTTCTCTAAAAATTGTTTGTTTTCTTATAATCTAACTTAAAGTAGGTATGCCGAGAGGTATGCACAAGTTTTGTCGTTAGAAGTATAAAAGCTTCAATTTAATTTGAACTATATTCAACAATTATTTAGTATACCTATATTTATTTATGACCATATTAATACACTCTTTCAAATAATCCACTTATTTATTTTTGTCAAAAAAGATTTTTCTAACCTTAAAATACAAAATTAGATGATATTTTTTGTTCTAATACATTAACCTACCTTTGATACAGATATTCATATTTCATAATAGAGAAGTTAGATTTTTTTTAATAAATGCTGTTTAGTTAAAACTATTTTATAGAGAAATGTAGACCCAATCAGGGCCGGGCCTAAGGGGGGTGTAGGGGGGGAATTCACACCCCCCAAAGTCTTGGCAGTTGGTTCCAAATCCAAACACGGTTGGCAAAATCTATAGTATTTGGGTCGGTTGGTTGGGTATACCTACCCTACCAACCAACCCATCACAATAAATAAAATGAAATATAATTTTTAAACTTTACCTACATATTACAAAATTATAATTTTTAATCTATTGTAACCTCCTATAATCGTTACCGTCAAGAAAATTGTATTGGTCAACCTTATTTTTATTAAAGGACATTATATTTCACACAAGCGGCATGTACAAAGTCGGCACCGCCTCGCGGCTTTGTCTTTGGTTTTGGCGGCGTTTGACTCTTATACGTACCGCAATTTTCGGCGTCTTATTTTTCTAGATTATTATTTAGTTGAAGCTTATCTAAGCTAAGTAAAACTAGTGTCAATAAATAGGAATTAGTTTTTTTAATATGGAAAACAAAGCTAAACCGGGCCGAGTTCTAGTAAAATGCTCATTATGTGGATCTGTGTTTAACAAGGACTAGAAAAAAATGCATGAGAAAAATATTCACGGTGTAAATTTGGTTAAAATTAAAATTGTTGCTGTTCCGGATAATCCACTTACATTGGCAGCAAATCAAAAAAATAGAGAACGAGAATCAATCCCATCGACTTCGAAAGAGCATGCTAATAGTAGGTAAAGACATTCTTTATCTACACTTTACAGCACTTTACAAACATGATACAACTAATTTTTACTATTACTACTAAAGTATCGATAAAAAAATAAGTTGGTTTTTTTATCGTCTCCACCCCCCCCAAAAAAGTGTGCCTCGGTACGGCCCTGGACCCAATGCATAAAAATATCACGTATATTGCACCTTACACTTTGGAATTTCATTAAATGCAGTATTTATATTCCTAAATTCTTAAACCAACCATTGTTATTGTGATACTATAAAGATTAACGCTTAAACATAAGCGGTAACACTATAAATATTATTTCTTTCATTGAATATACTTTAACAGATACATAACCTGAAAAGCCCTAAATGCCAAATTTTCAAAAGACTGCGTTCCGTACGTGGTCACGTGGTGGGACTTTAAGGTGTAGAGCATAGTACACATTTTAAAACGAGGTTTAAACATTTTATTTCCAATTAAGTCAAAGATTTACAAAAATGGCGGAATATATTGTGGCGAGTACCGCTCTGGATTTCGGAATGAGTCAGCGCTCAAGCGATCGAGAGCGGTCCGGTCACATAGGCACTGAATATATAAGGAACAGCGCAGCATGGAGCAGTCAGTCAAGTTTTGGTAATCGCGACGAAATAAATAAATATACGTGCAAATAAATAGACTCTCGAACAGTAGTGATATATAAATAATTAGTAGTTTAGTTGGTTTTATAGTTTCTTAGTGTTTTAAGTGTAGTTAAGTTATAAAATAAATAGTTTAGTTCGTTAATAAACCAGTGCGTGTTTTAATTCACACTACGAACAGTAAAAACGTTACAATATAAAAATCGACCTGGTTTTGGGATATAGACCGGGTTCCATCATGGATAAAAGGATGGCAGGGTTGTTTGTATATTCGACAAATTGTTGTTACGTGAAAATTACCTTTCCCCTTCTAAAGGCGCGATTGTCTCTCATCCAGGAAACAACGGCTCTGGGCCTCGACCCCGTCACCTCACAATGAACAGTCACATCCTCGTTGGCAATCAGTTGTTTCGGTTTTCCCACTATCGACACACTCAAAGGACGAACTGTAAAAAATAAAAAAAAACTTAATTAATTATATTTTTTGATTACTACTAGTGTATTGAACACACTGTTTTCCATTTTAGACCAATCATGATGCTTAAAATTGCGGTTTTATTTACATAGGCACAAATTTGAAGACCCCTCTGTCTAATACGTTGTTATATTATTTAAATAATAATATCATATTATATTAGCTTTTGTTAATTTGTCAAAAATTTTAATTATAAAAAGAATTTTTCTCTTTCAAAAGGTTTGATTCATCGCACATTGGCAACGTAGCATTAAATTTGTTTTAAATGGTGGCAGTAGCATCAGCTGTTATTATAGAAAGTTTTTATTTTGTTAATTTATTGTTTGTTTTGTGATTTATTGGCTTTATTTAACGCAGTAACCATTGTTAATAATTTGTTACTGAACAACAGGTAAGTCGATTACCTTAAACTCCTTAACCAATATTTTATAAAATTATTTTTATAGTTTAAAATGCATTTTTGTGAGAATGTTTCAACTACTTTTTGTACAAAATATGGTTATTATATTTTATAAAATAGTTAAAATATTAAAAAAATGCATTTTAAACTAAACAAAATATTTTATAAAATAACTTGTAAATAATTTAAATTTTGGACTTGTTCTCATCTTGAACTCACCGATTCAATTATTTTTTCGGGTGACGTTCACAATATCGAAATTCATTATATCGAATTCAAAATATCGAACACTTTTTATCGAAAATCAAAATATCGAAAATACAAAATGTCGAAAATCAAAATATCGAAAATTAAAATGTCGAAAATGATAATATCGAAAATTAAAATGTCGATTTAAAAATGTCGAATAATTAAAATTTCGAAAATTAAAATGTCGAAAATGATAATATCGAAAATTAAAATGTCGATTTGAAAATGTCGAATAATTAAAATTTCGAAAATTAAAATATCGATTTAAAAATATCGAAAATTAAAATGTATGATTAAAATCGAAGTGTATATGTACAGAGGCGCCTCTGTAGATAAAGTTACGGTTATGCACCGAATTATCTTGGCTCCCTGGCTCCTAGAGATGCGCGTTTTATAGAAATGTACTCAAACTCAACAACACAACCCAACCGACCCCGCCCCATTGGCCCCCCGGGGGCCCCCGCCCCATTGAGCAAAAAACCCAACTAAAATGGGCAAATTCATGTTACGATAAAAATAAAACACTTTTTAATTACATAAATTAGCCCATTTTAGTTGGGTTTTTTGCTCAATGGGGCGGGGGGGGGCCAATGGGGCGGGGTCGGTTGGGTTGTGTTGTTGAGTTTGAGTACATTTCTATATCAGAGGCGCCTCTGTACATATACACTTCGGATTAAAATAATATTTTAGACATTTTAATTTTCGACATTTTGTATTTTCGATATTTTGATTTTCGATAAAAAGTGTTCGATATTTTGAATTCGATAAAGTGAATTTCGATATTATGAACGTCGATATTTTATTTTCGATAAATTGAAAATTCGATTAAATAAAATTTCGATATTATCATTTTCGACATTTTAATTTTCGATATTTTGATTTTCGACATTTCGTATTTTCGATATTTTGATTTTCGATAAAAAGTGTTCGATATTTTGAATTCGATAAAGTGAATTTCGATATTATGAACGTCACCCTATTTTTTCAATATCCCGGCGAATTCACCATTTTTGCAACTTTCGGGAAAATATTTTTATATAGGATAAAGTAACATTATTACTGTAAAAACAAGAGTTCTATAATTAGTTATCTTAAAGTCAAATCATTAGACCACGCTGTATACAATTATAATTATCTCAGTAGGTAATAATATAGAACTACTTTATTTTGGGTCCAATAAAGGATAAAAAAGTTCCGCACGTACGTGGTAATATTTTTGTTTTTTTGTTAAGAGCAGGGCTGTGTTTAGATTATAACAAAAAATATTTCCAAAAAGTGGTATAAATGTGTTCCTCATAATTTAAACATTGTCACTTTAATGCGTTTTAATTTTAATTCTGAATAAAAAAAGTAAAATGGCCAGTGTCCAATTACTGGTTGGTAAAAAATGTAAATTTCTATTATTGGACATATCTCCAATATCGTACTCTATTTGCCATTATGTAATTATTATTATGTAAAATTGTCCCCTGAGTCCGAAAAGACCGTCAAAAACTATAAAAGTTAAGCAGTTTTTGAGATATAGTCAATTTCATATTATATGTAAAATTGATTATATTTTAAAAACTGTTCTGCTTTTATAACTTTTGACGAAATTTTCGGATTCAGCGAACAATATTTCATAGGAATTGACTGCTAAATGTCCTGGATACAAATTGCTGTTGACGAAAATTATTAGTGGCTGCTTTTTTGCTATGATATTTTTGACCAATTCATTTTTAGAGATAAGTAATATAGTGATTTCTTCGTCACAGGACATCTTTGCAATTGCAATTGCAGAATAATAGTGATTTAAATACAGTACATGATAGAGAACATAAAAAAGTAATGGCAACAAAATTAATAAATTCTGAAAATACTTTTAACATACCACCCGAAAAAATATTAGATATATATATAAATCATCCTGTTCCGGCCTAAACATTATAAATGCCTCACAAACTAGAGATATCAACTATTTCAGAAGTCAGACCAAGAAATTAGTAGTTACCTTCAGAATCCAGAAACGGGATGAGGAATCCGAGAAAGAAATATATAAATTATATAATATTTACAAAAACGAAATTAAAAAAATTACCTAAAACAGCAATTTTAAAATATTTAACAATTTATATTATTTGATGTAAAGTTGTTCTGTTTATATAAAAATTGTATGTCCAATAACTATGGTCCATGTGTCCAATTACTATATAAAATGTCCAATTACTATTCATTTTTGTATGTTTTTATAAAACTAATATTAAAATTCAAATATTCTTATTTTTAAGTAAACGTAAATAAAGTTTATACAAACAAACTATCCTTTTTATATATTTATAAGAAAAAAACTAAAGACTAAGTGTAATTATGTGGTTTACCCTATTATAATCAAAACAAACAAATAAAATATTTAAATTTAAATTTAACATTAATGATTATGGCCTTAATAGGTTATATTATAAGTGATTTTTTGAGACCTAAACTTTTAATATTTTACTATTTTTTTATGATTTTTAAATTAATATTTTATTATTTTTTCTAACTATCTAAGATAATATTTTAACATTTATTTTCTTTGTACATCCATAATTATATTTTTTTATAATTTCAAAAATGTTTTAAACTTCGTATGAATGTTTTATGCTAATTAGTTATAAACTCCAAAACATTTTATTTAATTAGGTTCCTCAAATATGCATTCGGCACGGAACACATCCGCAAACTCGTTTAACAAATAATAAATTTTATAATTATCTTTGTGTAAAAACAGGTTAAAACTATTCTATTTATGCCGCCGTATAAAAACTAAATACCGGCAAATACGGCAGGTATGTAACTATTAAATATAGCAACAGGGAATTATTCGGTAACTGAATTCCGGATATTTTTATTTGCTCGTACATTTTCGCAGCCCTACCCACTTAAATTATTCAGGGAGGTTTACATGTTAAATGGTGTAGCATGCTGGATGAACAAAAGTTACTAATTTATATATTAAATATAATTTTTAAAGGCGTTAAAAACTTAAGAACATTTCAAAATTATGCTTAATTTATTAAATTTGCGGGAGATATTTTTATTTGAAGAATAACTGGATATTGTGACAGACTTAAGGTATTATTTAAGCGGAATACATTAAACTGTTTTAAACTAGGTTTAGCTGGATTTTCGGGATTTAAATTTGATTTATTGTGATTGCATTAAACAAGTTTTCAAACAATCCAAGATTATAGAAGTGAAATATTTGAATAACTTTCAGTTTTATAATACGAGATTGTCTGGACTCCTTTCCTTTAGCATTTAACTTTATTAAACACATTTAAAGAATATGAACATTATTCATTGGTACATTCACACTATTTATTATTAAAATAAATCAAAAGGGTAGAAAAACTTAATGCGAGTGTTTATTACCCCTTAATGTGTTAAATAGTGACAAAATGTACACTACAGTGCAATGCCAATTTCTTTATTTGTTTTGATGTTACTAAAAGGTATTTTTTCTTTACACTACTAGTGCACATTGTATCACAATGAAAGTTAAATTACACCAATAGTGGCAAAATAGACTGAAAAACTGGTAATAACCAAAATGCGTTTTAAAATGTTTGGTTGGTACCTATCTACCTACGCAGTGCATATCCGGAGATACCGCGTTGTGGAAGTGTGGCATTTTTGTTCAGTTAGATTTTAATTACAGGGGACATTCTTATTTTTTGGTAAGCATTATACTTCCTTTTTCTTTAAGCCTTATTATTCAATAAATACCAATATGTTAAAAGGATGTCCATACCCGACCTAAACTTAATAATATAAATACATACACACTTGATTTACTTTTTATTTTCAAGCGTAATGGTTGTTATATTAACCTATACGTACATTTTTATTAATATTATGGAAAATGTGTACACGTGTGGTAAATCCCTGACATACAGCCGCCTGACGCCTCTCTAGCAATGGGATCACTCATTTTTTATAACAGAAAAATGGATTACTGATGATTCTCAAGATAATTCATTGCTTACAAGTTGACAGCCAGTAAAACATTGCATTGCGTTTACGTTTTAAGGAACCATTTTGCTTAAGCCAGCCATGGCAAATATAAAATTATATTTTTAAAGGCTAAAAAGAATAATTGTCATAGATTTTGTTCCAAATAAATGTTTCTCTTTATTTACCTTTTCGTTTTATTTACTACCACCAATAGGTTTTACTCAAATAATAGTGTTTGCACTAAAAGAGTAAAAGTACTTATAAAACAACACTATTTAGTGTGGACCTGTGTGAACTCTAATTAGTGTTGCTTGAAGTTAATTTTTTTACTGTGTAAAATAACATCCTCCTTTTTTATAAATTTGAGAATATATTCCAAATATTACAGAAAAAAGCCCATTTGTGGTAATATTTAAAAATACTTCTTTGATTCTCAAAAGAAAGTATCCTAGTAATGGTTTTAAGGACAAAAATACAAATTTTTATCTTTAAAACAGTAATGAGGTTATGTTCTAAAAACATAAATTTTTTCCTGGATCACATATTGTGTGACCCAGAGTAAAGTTATGTGACCCAGGGGACAATTCCAAAGAAATAAATTATAATATATTTTTGAAATAATAATAAACTTATAGGAAAGTCTTAAAAACATTTTTTTTTGTTTCTGACAGTACATAGCAAATTTAAAATAATGTCCTCCATCTTTTTAATAGTAATTTTTCTAGTCAATGTGACAATGTTTATTTTGACTTTTTATTATTATTTTATTAATATTACTAATAACAAAAACTTATTATTAATTTATTGCTCGATAAATTGGACAAGCTGGGCCCAGATAAAAAATCGAGAAAAACCGTTTTTAATACGCATTAAAAGAAAATTTCTTAAACTCACTTTTTTAATGGACATTTTTTAAATATAGAAAATATATTAAATATACTTGTATGTAAGAAAGTTGAGAAATATAACATAGTTTTTGCTTTTACTTAGTTTGTACCCAAAATTTGTGACCCAGGGGACCATTTTTTTCTTTTTCTTTTTTAAGGGCTTTGCTTATTTTGATACGCAAGTAGAGTAGTATTTTTTCAAACCAAGAATGTCCCTTTGAATTGAAATTGACATTTCAATATTAAGGGGCTCCTACAGGAGATAGTAGACTTGGGAAGAGTTTAATTTATTATACAGACTGTATAGAATTAAGTAAGTAAGGCTGGAGACAAGGATGACAAATTATATTCTGATCAGAGAAAAAGAAACAAACTTTAATTGGGCGTGGTTTAAACCAAGCCATTCGTAATTACGAACCATAGTTGCCAGGTTGTTTTAAATCAGAAGAGAACGATTATAATTATTTAATAAATAGTTCAATTTTATTTGTTTGAAACTTAATAATTAATAATATGTCAAAAAAATTTGATTAAGTTAATTTTCATACTTTTAATATTAAAAAATAAGAAAAACAACCCTTTTAGGAAACAATAATAGCATATGGCAACAGCGCGGCATGCAGCCAGATACAAGGGCATGTAGTTTGATCTACTGTGTTCAGTAGCTCCGACGCTGTCGTAGGAAAATGTGTATAGTTTTTAAGAAATACATTTTCGCCATTAACTGGAATTTAATGAAATAATACTTAGTTTTTATTTGCAGAAATGCATTAAAACAAAACAAACGAATTCGATAAAAATAAAACCTATAAATTCTCAAACAAAAATAATTTTAAAATAACGAGAATAACTTTTTTTCTAAATTCAATCCGTACCACAGTGGGCAGGGTTTGGCACTTGTTTTATTTAAGTGTATCTATTCGTTTTAAAACACACTGTAATATAATTTACGGTTAAAGAGATACTGTGTAAATACAGGTAAATGTTATAATATCGTTTATCGGAAAAGTTTAAACGTTCAAGTTAAAACCCTAGTGGCTATTTGTTAAACGTCATGGCAGAATCAATTGAAACAATTTGGAGAGTAAACGGCGCGATATTTATCAAATCGAATATTTCGCTTACCGATTACGTAATACGACATGGTAAATGCATGCAGTCAATCTTAAAACGCGAGACCGCATTTCTAAAGAAGTAAAAAACATGTAGAGATTTATCCGTTTCCACTTACGTAGCAGTTCCAGTCGGACGGTCTTTTCCGCCGGCATCATCAGCTTGGTGTTGCTCGCCTGGCACTTGTACGTCGAGTTTAGATGGTCCCTGGTGACGCCGGTAACTTCCAATCTGTTTACCATCACGTGATTCCCGATGGACTCCAGCTGGCCCTCCGCCATGCGCTCGTTCACGAACCAAGACACCGTGGGAGTCGGACGTCCTGAAAACGGACACATAGTCACTTCTTTACTCGTTTTTTTTCAACATTTTGGTCGTTTTTAGTTTTGCTGTATTTTGTTGAGTCGAAGTAAAATGGAGATTAAGTAAAATATAAAATCTCAGAAAATGTAAAACTTAAAAAATATATAAAATAATAATAATATTTATTGAGAAAAAGAAAATATGTATATTAGGGTGTCCCTTATTTTTATTTTTTTACGCATACCCTCTAATTATATTTATTACGTGTTTATATACTCCCAGTAAAAATTTCAGCTCATTCTATAAACGGGAACCCGTGCTGACTTGCATCTGAACTCTCCGTTAGCCAACGTTAGGTCGCGAGGTCTTCGATCGTAAGTCATTTTGTGTTTGTTATTATGTGACCCTTATATTATAAATTATTGACAAATGTTAAAATATAGTTTTATTTATGTGTATACTTTGATAAAAATGTATATTTTCACAGGGAGTGGCTAGTTACCCGGAAGGGTCTGGTGAATAGGCCGTAAACTCTGAAATTGATAAACTTAATGGGTTTTACTCTAAATAACTAAAAGAGTCTATTGTGAGAGATGACTACCGAAAACTTATTGAACTGTCTGAAATATTTTTGGAAGGACATCAAGAAAAGAAATGCTTATAAAAAGCTGAAATTTCATATAACAGTATATTTTAGCAATACTAATTAGTATATTAATATATTTAAGGGATAAAATCAACTAAATTAGTGAAACAAATGATAGAAACAAAAGCAATAATATTAATTAGTAATCATATTTAATAAAATCATTAGAAAAATACAGTCATGAAGTATATCTTCTTTTTAAAGCGTTTCGTGTTACAAAATACCGCGCGCGCCTAACGTTGGCTAACGGAGGGTTTAGATGCAAGTCGGCACGGGTTCCCATTTATAGAATGAGCTGAAATTTTTACTGGGAGTATATACCAAAGTAATAAATATAATTAGAGGGTATGCGTAAAAAAAATAAAAATAAGGGACACCCTAATGTATATAATAATACAATCAAAGGCAAAATAATCGATCCACACAAATTTTCGATGAATTTCAATCGCAAATAACTTTTTTATTTGATTTCGGATTTAAACAAATATTAAAGAATATTGTAGATACATTTATGGAGAATCGCTCACATTTTAGTGGCTAAACCGTATATTGTTCTAAATTAAGTTTTAATTATTAAGTCACATCTATTTTTTACAGTTTTGTTTTTGGTTCACCTTGATATATTTATTTTTGTGGAAAATATGGATTTTTTTAAAAAAACATTGCAATTTCCAACATTTTCCTGTATGAAGAACTAAGGTTGCTATGGTCCATCCATAGCCTATGGAGGATGACAGTGACAGTTTTGTTGAATCATCCCATACTTGGACATCTCATATACAGCTTTCAAAAGCTATCAAATTGTTTTTTGTAAATTAATGTGTTAATTTTGAGGTGTCTTCTTACTTTTAAAAATGTCTCCGACTGATGTTGCCCTTTGTACTTTACTTCTTGTAACGTTTAAAACACTTGCCACGTAATACTGTGACCGTCCATCCTGGATTAAATTAATGGGTCTGGCAACATCAGTCGGAGACATATCCATTATCCTCAAAATTAACACATTAATTTACAAAAAACAATTTGATAGCTTTTGAAAGCCGTGTATGACATGTCCAGATATGGGATGATTCAACAAAACTGTCACTGTCATCCTCCATAGGCTATGGATGGACCATAGCAACCTTAGTTCTTCATACAGGAAAATATTGGAAATTACAATGTTTTTTTAAAAAAATCCATATTTTTCACAAAAATAAATATATCAAGGTAAACCAAAAACAAAACTGTTAAAAATAGATGTGACTTGATAATTAAAACTTAATTTAGAACAATATACGGTTTTGCCACTCTACAGAGTGTCTTAAACTTATGGTAAAAGATATCTTTTTGTTTAAACCTGTATATAAAATCGTACGTGTATTTTTTAATAATTTTTGAAATGTGAGCGATTCTCCATTAATGTATCTACAATATTCTTTAATATGTGTTACGAAATCAAATAAAAAAGTTATTTGCGATTGAAATTCATCGAAAATTTGTGTGGATCGATTATTTTGCCTGTGAGTGTATAAAAAACTAATTAAACATTACATGAAAAATACAACAAAACCTATGAACCAAAAATAAGTATACTTATAAGTACACTTATACCTATAGGTACCAACTGTAAATCAAATATTAAACCAGCCCACAATAAAATTCCAATGGTTTATTCATTTTTGGAACTGGCATTTTATAGTTTTGTAGTGTTTAAACTGTTTTTAGATGAACTTTTCTTTAAGAATAGGTATAGATCAAAATATTTAGGTAGAAAAGTTGTCTACATGGACTGCAGTTCATTTTGCCAGATATGAGGAAGAGTTCATCTGTGGGGTGCTTTATTTCGACTTTATGAATAATTTTAGAATTTTTTTGTGTTAATTCCAGATCCCATATGATTATTTAATACACCATCCCAACCTAATATCATATATTAAGCTATAGAATTGTTAAGATTGGGTTTCAGTAACTTAAAAAAAGAAATAATACAATAAGATGTCATATTATCTTTTTTGTAACTTGTTTTCACCTGTTGATCTCATTTAAATAAGGATCAAGAGGTATACCCAGGTATTTTGCTGATTCGGTTGTATTAAATAAAAAAGTTTCTTTAGAATTCTTAAATGTTGGAATTTTAAAATCTGGTAAAGTTTTGGAGTAGGATATATTGCTAGGATATTATGATTAAAACCATTCTTTGATAGCTATTCAATCTTTTTCAATTAGGTTTTTAACGATATCCATGTTGATTTCCGTATAGAAAACTGTGGTATCGTCTGCAAAGCTCAGTAATTTCCTCAATAGAAGTTTATAGAAGTTAAAAAAGGAATGGTCCCAAAATTGTCCCTTGAGGTACACCATGGAAAGGAGTCTGATGTACTTAAAGTTGCTCCTATTTTATCAGTTAGTTAGTAGTAATAATATATATAATAATTTAAGAGATATTTCTCTGGTTTATCAATATTATTAATATTTCACTTACAAGGCTCATACACACTGTTTCAACAAAATTAAAGTTCAGTTTTAAACTTTGTTATACATTTGAGATAATTCCTCGTGACCCACTTTTTAGGGTCATTATTTGACGACATTCAACATCTGAGTACATTAAATATTTAGGCAGTTGTGAAAATATCGAGCCCCTGGCGATAAAATTTCGAAATATGCAAATTCACTTTGCAAGTGAAGGAAAGAGGCGAAAAATAATAAAACGTGCATTTCAAGGTCTCCCTCGCCCTCTATACTTTCCATTTTAGGTGGATAAAGGTGCGCCGAAAGCGCTTCCATAAAATATCCTTTTTAAGGGCATCATTTTGGTATTTTTAATTACTTAATTAAGATCACGTCAAATATCGCGATCTCGGGAAAGAGGTAGGTATGTTTTATTAAGGTCGCCGAGCCCTGTGTTACCTTCACAAGTAAATTATGCGCCCCTTGTGTACCTACTCGGGAAATTTGCCAGAGAAAACATAAAAATTCGTCTGATTAAAATTTCTCTAAACGAGTAATTAAAAGAACAATGCGTCTCGTAATTAAGTGTCAATATCGAAAGTAAAGAATTTCCAACGAAATACTTTTCTTAAATTCAATTAAAAACTTGTTAAGATGGTAAAAAACGTTCAGCAAAAAGTTTCCGATACACTGTTTAAAATATCTGTGGTGTAAAAGGTAATCTTAAAATGGTGTCTTAAAATATTTGAGAAGTGCACCTACACAGAAAAAAAGGAATAGTTAATTTAACTATATTAATTTAGTTGACCCATAAGTATTTATTTAAATCAAATGTGGGAAGGTTAATATAAACAAAGATTAGTTTGACGGTACTAAACCAGATAGTTATTTTTTTTTAAATTGGTTAAATTAACCCAGAAACCAACCCGCTGTATGGTTCAGTTTACTAAATATGTTGTTTGTAAAATAAGAGTTACTTAAACCTAAAGCACTCTGTTAAAACGATTAAAACAATTTGCCGTGCATTCCTGGTTGCATAGTATGTACCGATCGCAGCAAAGGCAGTGTGGATCACGTGAAGTTCTTAAATCTCGCCTCTGTTGACTAACATGAAGAGTATATAAGCTCAGGTAGTCCTTTGCTTTCGTGTGATACTACAAGTTGTTCGATACTAAAGAGGCCTTAAATAGGTGGAAACAGTTGTCAATACTTGAAGGATTTTAAGTTGGTGGAACGCACTAAAAACATTATCTCTAGCGAGTTGAAGGTTCAATTTTCTGGAATAATACCACTGGGTAACATACTAGTAATGCGTCAAGGAACTTCCTGTTTCCTTTTTTTCCTTTTTTTCTGTGTAGTATGATTTAATTTGACCAAAAACACATAATATTTAACACTAAAAAGGAGTTCAATTTACACCAGGTAAAATTTATTTTAATACTGCGTGAAAGTTAAATTTACACTATTTTAGTATTTGAATTTACTCTGGACCAACGATATAGACCATGTATGGTGTAACTGGTTGGATTTTTGAATTTTGAAGACTGATTTCGTATAATTAACAACTCTCCTTTTACAACACTTTTTACATGACCAATTCTGAGGTTTGGAGACATTGACCTACAAAATGATTTTAATGTTGATATAGGACTTTACTATCGACTGAAAGTATACTAATAGAAAAAATACAAAAAATGGAATGCTCAAATTGTTATTTGAGCCTTAGATGCTTTTTCGATAGCATTATGTTTAAAAGTGTTTTGTTATTAAGAGCAGAACTATCACAAAGATATAAAACTGAGCACAGTTGAACAATATTGTCGGGTGCTGTAAAGTGGCGTCCTTACCATCGGAATTGATTATGGCGGATCTGCATTTAGATGTAAATACTCCAATAAAAACTTACTTTGCCATAATAGAAGACAAAGCCGCAATTTAAAGTTACTTTGGCCTCGAAAAGAATAAAGAAAAGAGACTACGTCCGTGCCGAAGTCCCCGGTTTGCCGTTTCCTCTGGAATCCCATCATCCTGGATGCATTAAGAGGGAAGGGGAAAGGCGCCAGGTTGCAATTTCGGCGAAGGTCTCAGTCAAATGCCCCTTTAGCGACTTCCAAATCCGCCGAGATAATCTTATAAATCGACTAAACAATTCCGGGACCAAATGGAATTTTATTCTCGGATGAATTCGCGATCTCAACAACAACCCTTTTGAAATATAAATGGAGATATTGAGAGGCAAAATGTAGCGCGAACTTGTTTTCTTACCTCCTCGTACTTCGCAAGTCAACACCAGGTCGGAGCCTTCCTCCAACGGTCCCACAATCCCACTTATGTCCCGTCCTGAGTTATCGTACAGAAGAAGTTGGTGGGGTGGCACTAAAACAAAAAAATTTGTTTATAACAAAATATAATTTAAGTTTTGTAAAGGTAATATGCATTTTGTTAATTTCAAAGGTTACAGATTATTTTGTTCATGTTTAACAAATTATTTCGTTGATAAAGTACACGTGATGTCAGGCAGTCAATCAAAACATTTCCCACTGACCATACGCATCAACAAGTTCAACTGAATAAAAGTTAAAGTTTATTCAATCAAATATGTTTGGAGCAATTAAGGGTAAGGGATTGATGTTATTACAAATATTATATTCAGCCCATAACAAAATATTATCAAGTTAAAATTACTTGTTATAGAGTGAATGGCTCTTTAGATTTAAACCTAATCGAAATGTGTACTTCCTTGAAAATTTTAGAAATGATTGCATTGAAAGTTTATCTGATCATGGTAAAATTAACAATATTTAATTAAATATAAAATTGATTTATATTAAAAGTTTCAACCAAAAATTAAAAACAAATAAAATAAGAATAGTCTTTGTTTCTTTTAATGTTCTTACAGTGAATACCAATGTTTTCACTGCCTTGAAAAATACTTGTTATTTGCCCAATTATCATTCCCATTTTTTCAATGCGGCCTATATACAATTTAATGATTGCTAAAATTCAGAGAAACGCGCCAGGGCATCCCTTGCCACACCACACATCGGCAACCTGCAATCGCGTACGTGCCTATAGTTAAATGTGATCAACTGATTAATCGGTATTTCTGGTGACGCCGATTGATGTAAATGTATGGGTTATCTTTGGATGGGGTAGTGTTTGGTTGTTTGTTATCTTTGCTAATTTCTTGGGGGTTGTAAATTGTACATGTTTTTTAATTGTATGTCCGCCATGCATTATCCAGTAATTTAATTACTCAAATATATCTAAATAATAACAAAAAAGGTAAATGTGTTCTCATATAGGTATATACCATGGACACAGTTTATCTTGATATTCGGTGTGATGCCTTAAAATAGCTATTTTGCTTAAATGGACGGAGTTTTTATTTATTTATAAAAAACTTCTCATAGTCTTTTAGTACCATTATGATATCCTTGCAGGGCGTCCTGAAAGTATATATTGCTTTAAGACTTTCAGCAATCTTTAGGATTCGCCTCTAAATACATAAGATGAAATTCCTATTTCGTTTTAGAATAACCATGTGCCATGGCAGACAGATCCTGCACATCCAGTACAGTAAATGATGCTAGTGATGGGTCAGCAACTTTCTTAGAGCCTAATATCACCAACACTTCTAGTGGGTTCCTAATAGTTCCTACAGAAAACAGAACAATTTAATTTTATGAATCGAAAAACCTGTGTACACAAGACTACCAGAAGCAGTTTCCAGAATTCATTTTATTTATAGTTTATATTAATGTATTATACAACTAATATTTGCACAAGAATATACATATTTAAATAAAATAGAGCTTTGATTGCATTTAATGTAGCCATTCATTAAAAACCATAACTTATTTATGCTAATGTTTATGTTTGAACTAATTTTAAGCAATTTTGCACAAATAAAAGTAAGACAATCATTTATTTGATCATAGCTGTAATTCAGGTATTGCAAATACAGTGGCTCAATGGTTTACCCATTCACAATATAAAAGCTTTCTCGCTGTATAGTACTAATAATTATATTAACCATTGTCTCTAGCAATGTCTTTTATAAAACTGAACTCGTTTTTGTACTTCAAGGACTTTGTGTTTTGTTTTGGTGTTGAGGAATATTTCTCCAAAACAACAAGGTTGTCCTTTTTCAAGAATTCAATTTAATTTTTGTAAAAACCGAAAAACAATGATTGAGAACCATAATATTTTCCCTTACTCCACTGAGTGTACTATGCTCCACACCTCAAAGTCCCACCACGTGACCACGTACGGAACGCAGTCTTTTGAAAATTTGGCATTTAAGGCTTTTCAGGTTATGTATCTGTCAAAGTATAGTCAATGAAAGAAATAATATTTATAGTGTTACCGCTTATGTTTAAGCGTTAAAAGTTAATAAAGTATAGTATCACAATAACAATTGTTGGTTTAAGAATTTAGGAATATAAACACTGCATTTAATGAAATTCCAAAGTGTAAGGTACAATATAATTGATATTTTTGTGCATTGGATCTACATTTCTTCATAAAATAGTTTTAACTAAACAGCATTTACTAAAAAAAATCTAACTTCTCTATTATGAAATAAGAATATCTGTATCAAAGGTAAGTTAATGTATTAGAACAAAAAATATCACCTAATTTTTTATTTTAAGGTTAGAAAAATCTATTTTGACCAAAATAAATAAGTGGATTATTTGGAAGAGTGTGTTAATATGAAAATAAATATAGGTATACTAAATAATTGTTGAATATGGTTCAAATTAAATTGAAGCTTTTATACTTCTAATGACAAAAATTGTGCATACCTCTAGGCATACCTACTTTAAGTTAGATTATAAGAAAACAAACAATTTTTAGAGAAACTTGCAATGTGAAAATATTTAATACTCCCATGACATGTGATTTATTAAAATTTTTAAAGTTATAATGATTTTTCGATGTAGATCAAGTTCAGTCGAAGCTTTTTAACTATTTGTATTGACAAAACTTTATGTAGGTACACTTTAAGCTGGATAAGAAAAACTACCATATTTTTAAATACCATATTATACAGTGTTTTAAATAATCCAAAATACTTATTTATTTTGGTCAAAATAAATTTTTCTAACCTTAAAATTACAAATTTTTGTTATAATATATTAACCTACCTTTAAAACAGATATTCTTATTCCATAATAGAGAAGCTAGATTTTTTTTAAATAAATGTTGTTTAGTTTAAATTATTTTATGGAGGAAAACCAGATATTTGGACCAAATGCACAAAAATTTTACTTATTTGGCACCATACACTTTAGAATTTCATTAAATGCAGTATTTATATTCTTAAATTCTTAAACCATCCATTGTTATTGTAATGTTATAAAGATTTATACATTTTTAACTCCTAAAGATAATATTATTTCTTTCGTTGACTATACTTTGACAGATACATAACCTGAAAAGCCTTAAATGCCAAATTTTCAAAAGACTGCGTTCCGTACGTGGTCACGTGGTGGGACTTTGAGGTGTGAAGCATAGTACATCTTACTGCATAGTTTATCCCCATCAGAGTTAATAGAATTAACAGCAACAAAAGATGCAATGATTAGCGATGCGAGAGGGTATTATTTATTAAATACAGTTTTCACGCACTTAGTATTTCCTGTCGGGGTTATTAATAATTAAAAGAGAACAGCAGCAGCAGCTACTACGGCGTGCGATGGAATAGGGGAGATATAAGCAGGGTAATCGCTTCGTCACACCTGAAGTTGTCTGGAGTACCCTGAGAGAATGGCTAGCAGGAAAATTAACGAGGCAATTGCAAAGTAATGAGAAGTTTAAAATGAGTTTTTTAAAAGAAATTTTCTTTTAAAATCGCACCAAGTGTATTATTTAAGCAGGACGGCAAGTCAAGCCATCTGTTCGAAATTTATAAAATGATTAAATTATAATTACAGTCTGGGTCCCAGGCCCCAATTTAATCCAACTTCAGGTCAGATGATTTGTTTTTAACATAATTTCATGGCCGAAAATTTAATTATGTCACCTTGCAAAACAATTCAATTTAATTTTGTCGGAATAAACGATGAAGGAAACAAATTTGTTTAGCATTTAGGACTACTTTTTAAAAGGTCTACAAGAAAGTCCGCTTTCAAAACTTCAGCGAGTTTTAATACGATTTGCGAGTTATTTACTTAAGTATTTTTATTTAATTACGAAAGCTGACAAATGCTAATGAAATAACAAACTTTTATGTCTTAACAATACAGAAAAGCTTATCACAATTTCACAGCATAAATATCTTATTAATTTTCTTCGTCAATAAAACTAGAACACAACAAGAAGTTTTCCATTTATTTAATGCAGTATCCAGCTCGACCTATTTCTCGTGCTACGGTTAGTAAAATTGAACGGATATTCAGAGAGACTGGACATGTCAAAGATATTCCGAGTATTAGTAAAGACACTACAATTGACATTTTGTTACGTGTGGAAGAAGATCCTCAGTGCTTCTAGCCTAGTCGCAGCTGAAAGTCAAGTCATTACGTCTTATGAAGAAAGAAAAGTATTATCCACACAAAATTAGACTATAGTCAGGAACTTAATGAAGATGATCCGGACTGTACACTCTTTAAAATATCTGTGGTGTGAAGAGTAATCTAAAAATGGTGTCAAAATCCAACACCAAGTGTTGTTAATATAACACCATGAATTATGATTGAAAATGTTTTACACAGCAAATACCAAAACGGTGTTTATCTAAAAATATTTAAGAAGTGCACCTACACAGAAAAAAAGGAATAGTTCATTTAACTATATTAATTTAGTTGACCCATAAGTATTTATTTAAATCAACTGTGGGAAGGTTAATATAAACAAAGATTAGTTTGACGGTACTAAACCAGATAGTTATTTTTGTTTTAAATTGGTTAAATTAACCAATGGTTCAGTTTACTAAATATGTTGTTTATAAAATAAGAGTTACTTCAACCTAAAGCACTCTGTTAAAACGATTAAAAAAATTTGCCGTGTATTCCTTGTTGCATAGTGTGTACCGATCGCGGCAAAGGCGGTGAGCCTCACGTGATGTTCTTAAATCTCGCCTCTGTTGACTTACATGAAAAGTATATAAGCTCAGGTAGTCCTTTGCTTTGGTGTGACACTACAAGTTGTTCGATACTAAAGAGACCTTAAATAAGTGGAAACAGCTGGGTCAGAATTTCTCAAACGGGCCACCTGAATTAGGTCAAAATTAGTTTTTGATTGTAGATACATTTTTTCGATAGTATTTTACATCACTAACACAAATCCTAAAGGATTTTGTAAAAAAAAAATTTTCAATTGACATATTCATGATATTAAAAGTAAAAGTTTTTAGTAATTAAAAAATAAAAAAAAATCATTATGGCTAAACTAATTATCCGATTCCAACGATTTAACTAGCGTTGGAATCTTGTTTTGACATAGATTCTTTGTTATTTTTTTCAATTGTACAATTTTCATTTAGGTCGATTTTTTTTTGTTTTTTTTATAACAAATTCGGAAATAATTGGCTTCTGCGCCAGCTATCGACTCGAAAAAAAAAACACATATACTCCAATCATTTTTCGAAATTATGCTGCTGAGAAAAAAAATGGCCCGCAGGTTCCAGACCACCGTAAGACGTCGCGTCACAAGCGCGTACAGCGTACATGGTTCGGAGCGTGAGCTGACACCGCGCGCGGCCACAAAAGGACGAATAACTTTTTGTCAACCTGCGGGCCATTTTTTTTCTCAGCAGCATAATTTCGAGAAATGATTGGAGTATATGTGTTTTTTTTCTCGAGTCGATAGCTGGCGCAGAAGGCAATTATTTCCGAATTTGGTATAAAAAAACAAAAAAAAATCGACCTAAATGAAAATAGGACAATTGAAAAAAATAACAAAGAATCTATGTCAAAACAAGATTCCAACGCTAGTTATATCGTTGGAATCGGATAATTAGTTCAGCCATAATGAATTTTTTTATTTTTTAATTATTAAAAACTTTGACTTTTAATATCATGAATATGTCAATTGAAATTTTTTTTTTTACAAAATCCTTTAGGATTTGTGTTAGTGATGTAAAATACTATCGAAAAAATGTATCTACAAACAAAAACTAATTTTGACCTAATTCAGGTGGCCCGTTTGAGAAATTCTGACCCAGCTGTCAATATTTGAAGTATTAAAGCACTAAAAACATTGTCTCTAGCGAGTTAAAGGTTCAATTTTCTGGAATAATACCACTGGTAATATACTTGTAATGCGTCAAGGAACTTCCTGTTTCCTTTATTTCTGTGTAGTATGATTTAATTTGACCAAAAACACATTATATTTAACACTGAAAAGGTGTTCAATTTACACCAGGTAAAATTTATTTTAATACTGTGTGAAAGTTAAATTTACACCATTTTAGTATTTGAATTTACACTGGACCAACGAACCATATTTAACACCATTTTGGTTTGTATCGATATAGACCATGTATGGTGTTGATTTGGTGTTAAAATGGTCATGAAATTTTGAACAGTGTAGACTACAATTTTGAGAATCTATGATTAATTTATGTAACAATAATTCACACTTTCCTAGTTAAATACTTTTTTTGACGAAGCTACATTCTGTTTCAATGGTACAGCCAACCGTCAAAATTGTAGGTACTGGAGCAGATGAAATCCTCATTGGGTAGTAGAAATTCCCAATACCGGTGAAAAGTGAATCTCTGGGCAGGGATGGTGGAAAATCGGATCATAGGTCCTTTCTTCTTTGATAAGAATATGAAAAGACAAACGTATTTGGAAGTTTTGCAAAACTATCTTCTTCCCACATTAGCAGAAATATATGTTTTCCTCTAAGAATGTAGGTCCCGATCTACCATTAACAGACCGCATAATTTACAACCATACACGTTATTGATCTATTATTTATTTTCTTACCTATCACAGTTAAGTTGATGGCAAAATTCCTTGAAGGAGTTGTTCTAAAATCGACTCTGCATCTGTAAACACCTTCATCGTCTAGTTGCACTCCATCCAAAGTTAAAGCTGCCGGCTTGGAGACAGTCACGAAGTAGGCCCTTGGTCCAAACATATTCGGATCTGACCAATGAAGAGCTTTGTTGAAAGCTCTACCCCTCACATCGAAACTGTAACAAAATAAAATGCTGTTATTGGAAGTTTGTTTAGCTCAGGTTTAGTTTTTTAAAACAATTTGAGTCGTCTACATTTGAGGCATGTCAAAGCAAAGTCAACAATCTCCCATCAGACTAAAACTGAGTAAATTGAGATAATTGATTTTGGTATTTTAAATTCTAGATTTGTAATTTTTTTTATATATTATATTGAAATATTGTTGTTGTTAGTCTAGTAGCCAACTACAAGGTTTCCAGGATGCATAGTAAAGGTGAAATCTATAATTATAAATTGGAGATTGCTGACTTTGATATGAATTGCTGGACATTTCTCATTTTGTTGTAAACGTTTAAGGATATTTAGAAAAATAAACAAAAAAATAATTGTTTTTTTATTCCTTTAATGGGTATAAACTATACAATCAATGTGGGAAAATTCTGAACTGGACCACATAAATCTGGAGTTTCTTCTAAATCTGGGACCAGGTTGCCTCGTGCAAAAAAGTTTTTATAGTACAACAACTCATCATCTTCTTCCCACTTTGCCCCGTAATGTTTTACTTGCAATGTTTTGACATTATCAGCCTTTTCTTGCTTTACCTTTACGTCTTATTATGGTATAATAGCACAAAATAAACAAGATAACTTTTTTTATAATTCTTAAAACAATAAAACGTATATATACCTATTTTAAATAAATTTTTAAGTGCCTTTTACTGCAATAGAACTTAACAGTATGTACCAGTAAAAAAACACAAAATTAAATCTCTAAAATACGTTATAACATCAAATGTTAGGATATCAGGTGACACAAATTACTAATTTCTAATGGTGGAATTGGAGATTGTATAACAATAACAATAAAACGTATATATACCTATTTTAAATATATTTTTAAGTGCCATTCACTGCAATAGAACTTAACAGTATGTACCAGTAAAAAAACACAAAATTAAATCTCTAAAATACGTTATAACATCAAATGTTAGGATATCAGGTGACACAAATTACTAATTTCTAATGGTGGAATTGGAGATTGTATACTTACTTTGCTGCAAATCTATCAGTGGAGATTGTCGACTTTGCACTAAATGTCATTTTTAAAATAGGATTTTAGGCACGATTTAGCTCCTTTTGCAGCACATAAACTTTATCATCTTAGTGCTCATTCATTGACCGTAAAACGTAAACATAATATCATCATAATTTGTACGTAACGATGAGTTGTGTTTATAATGAACGTATGCCTTATGTATATATTAATAAGGCGCGCATGTCCAAGTTCACTAAAATGGCAGCATTGACAGATTTCATTTAATTATTATGTCTTAAAACTTAAAAGTTTTAAGACATAATATTTATAAATATAAATTAAGTTAAAACTATCAGTGTTATGGTTCTTTAGATTGTTTGTTCTGGGGATACACCAGAATACACTTGAAAAAGATCTGTCATCTGTTTGCATGGCTACTACCCTGATTGCTACCAACAATGTTCTAGTGAAATCATGAAAATTTCTAAAATTCAAACATAAGAAACCCGTAAAGTTGAGATGATTTCAACTTTACGTATTTTTTACGGTCACCCGTAAGATCTTATGTTCGAACGTAATACGTAAAAATTAAATTATAATGAATAATAAACAGGCACACTGGTTTTGTTAATATTCAACTTTACGTTTTACGAATTTCTTGATGGCATCTTATGGTTACGTCCATTATGAATGAGCACTTGTAGATAATTAGTTGAAGTACAGTCTCCGCCAAAGTGGAGATTGTCGGTTTTGCTATGACAGGCCTCATTTATTCTTTTGAATGCTCATGAAATTAAAAGACTCAACCCAACATATCAGTTTTAAATTTGTTGAAATTAGTTTAAACGTGAATGAGCATAAAACGTTGAGGCGAACAAAAGTAATCGTAAAATTTGTCTTCCTATACCTATGACTAGTTTACAAGTGCTCAGATTGTATGCGACACATCCCGATATATCACGTTCTCTTCCACCTTATTTCGTTTCGACTGACGCGTGTGAATTCGTAAAACGGGGGTGTGGGCGAGGTCTCAAAGGAGGTCGTCATCGCTGGCAGTGCAATTTCGTATCCTTTTAATCCGCCGTTGCACGTAAAGGGCGACACTTGAGAGGAACGGCGCGACGGTTCGGCCAGACCGCCGAGAGATGCATTCCCAGGAATGCCGATTGGGTGTCGTCTGCCTTCGGAATTTCGAATTAAACTTACACCAAACGCGCCAGGCCGGTGCTCAATGATTCGGAAAAAACCTTTGATGTCATCCACACTTGGATTAATCTTTACGGGTTATAAATAAATGCGTTTTAAATTATAGAGGGGTTGAAAATAATTCTTGTAACGGTTCAGCAATGATCATTTTAAAAATATTTATTTTTGGGAACCCTTTGGGAATAATTACCAAACACAAAAGTGCTCACTAATAACATAGTGTTCGATCGCTGTGAGTCTGCCAGTGAGCCATGCATTACCATGACCACTTAACTGCACCTCTTCTACCAATCCACCAATTATGGAGTATTTCATTTAGGTATCGACGAACGGGTAATGCGTACACAGAAAAAATGCTTTGATATAGTCAATAACAATGCTATTGATATTGATTTTTCATTATATCTAAATGATAACAAAAAGGTAAATGTGTACTCATTTAGGACCATGGACACAGTTTATCTTGATATTCGGTATTTTTCTTAAATGGACGAAGTTTTATTTATTTAAAAAATTTATCATAGTCTTTCAGTACCATCATGATATCTTTGCAGGGTGTCCTGAAAGTATATATTGCTTTAGGACTACAGCAATCTTTAAGATTCGCCTCTAAATACAAAATATGAAATTCCTATTTCGTTTTAGAATAACCATGTGCCATGGCAGACAGATCCTGCACATCTAGTACAGTAACTGTTGCTAGTGATGGGTCAGCAACTTTCTTAGAGCCTAATATCACCAACACTTCTAATGGGTTCCTAATAGTTCCTACAGAAAACAGAACAATTTCATTTTATGGATCAAAAAACCTGTCTACACAAGACTACCAGAAGCAGTTTCCAGACTTCATTTTATTTAAAGTTCATATTAATGTATTATACAACTAATATTTGCCCAAGAATATAGATATTTAAAGGAATTAGAACTTTGATTGCATTTAATGTAGCCATTTATTAGAAACCATAACTTTATTCATGACAATGATAGTTTTTCATTACAATTCATTGTGGTTTCAATTAAATAACAATTTAATTCAATAATTTCTTATGTTTTAACTAACTAAGTTTTAATATGGATTTAATAGAATCATAATTTAATTCAATGACTTCTTATGTTTGAACTTATTTTAAGCAGGTTTGCACAAATAAAAGTAAGACAATTATTTATTTGATCATAGCCGTATTTCAGGTATTGCAAATACAGTACCTTTTCTGGATACTGGGTATGATCTTCTTCAATCCATTAAGGAATCCTTAATAAGGATTGATGTCCCTCCAACATCTACAATTTTGACGATTCATTTCACCATTTAATGTAAACGTGTTTCATCGGAAAATAGTATCCAATCCAAGAAAATTTGATTTATATATTAGGTTCATCATTTCCTCGCAAAATTCCTGTTATTTTTGCTGTTGTTTTTTTTACATTTTCGCGATATTTCGCTTCTATTTTACTAACAGTCCCCTGGCAAATAATGTATTATTTGACATACCTTTGCATTTAATTTTTTTTTTCAAGATACAGAATTTATTCGGTATAACGGTTTTTACCCTGTATAGCAATAAGTACTATATTTAACAAAATCAGTTTACTTTAGTTGGTTTAAATTTAAGATCAAACATGCGTAACCTTGTTTCATGTCGCAGCGATATTAAAATGAACGCGATGGAAATCTCTGTTAATAATTTAATTTAGACATTCGGTTAATAATTATCAAATGGTGACCTTATCTTAATGGCCTGTGCGGTGTATGTACGCGCTCACTTGGCGCGTTGGAAAAATTAAAGGGCACAAATGAGACGTCATTTCATAAAAAGCTCTAATTTCGCTTAATAGCCGTAATAAAATGCTTGGCGTGCCGCTTTGAAATTGAATATCCACCAGTTACACACTAGAATTAAATCGGGCCAGAGAAATTATTTTTATGGTTTTGGAAATTTTGATTGCAAAATTATACAGTTTACCTCATAGTTATTGGACATAGAATTTTTATATAAATATAACAACTTTACATCAAATAACATAAATTGTTAAATATTTTTTAAAGATAAACTGCTGTTTAGGTAATTTTTTATTTCGTTTTTGTGAATATCATATAATTCATATATTTCTTTCTCGGATTCCTCATCCCGTTTCTGGATTCTGAAGGTAACTACTAATTCCTTGGTCTGACTTCTGAAATAGTTTGTTGCAAATATCATTAAGTGTGGTATCTCTAGATTGTGAAGCATTTATAATGTTTAGGCCGGAACAGGATGATTTATATATATCTAATATTTTTTCGGGTGGCATGTTAAAAGTATTTTCCGAATTTATTAATTTTGTTGCCATTAGTTTTTTTGTTCTCTATCATGTACTGTAGTTAAATCACTGTTATTCTGAATGTCCTGTGACGAAGAAATCACTGTATTACTTACTCTCTAAAAATGATTTAGTCAAAAATGTGAAAGCGAAAAAGCAGCCACTAATAATTCTCGTCAACAGCAATTTGTATCCAGGACATTTAGCAGTCAATTCCTATGAAATATTATACGCTGAATCCCAAAATTTCGTCAAATGTTATAAAAGTAGAACAGTTTTTGAAATATAATCAATTTTTTATATAATATGGAATTGACAATATCTCAAAAACTGCTCAACTTTTATAGTTTTTCGGATTCAGGGGACAATTTTACATAAGAATTGGCTGGTAAATGTCCGGGATACAAATAGAGTATGATATTGGACATATTTCCAATAATAAAAATTTACCTTCTTTACCAACTACTAATTGGCCATTTT